GCTGTTTGAAGAAAAAAATGTTGTGCTACTACATGTTTCTTCTGCAGGACTTTTTTTGTTTTTGTTGAAATTGTTAATGAAATAATTTTTGTAACCCAGGAGGATATGTCCAGAATGGCACCGCAAAGTGGCTGTGATGCATTGCAATATGTGGGCATCTTGTAGCATTTGCATAGTTGATGATTGTGGTGTGGCTTGCTACTGCTGGCTGCATTCACATCAATCTATCGTGCTGGTGCGTGTGCTTACTGATACCACTTCCTTATCATGTATCACAGCCTGCTTTGTCGAGCTGTTGCCGGAATCGCTTCAATTTGTTAGTCTTAATTCTACTGAGCTTGTGTATGTTTTAGCATTTTTGTGTTCATGTCTTAAAGATTTTGTGATTTCAAATGTTTTGAACTGAATCTTCATATTTGGTTTAATATTTATTCAAGAATTACTTTTCAGACAAGTTATATGCATGGCAGTTCTCTCATGAGCAAGAATTGTTTTATTTTGCTTTATAATGAGTTTTTTGAGTGTTTTGAATATTCATTGAATTAATTTGCTCAGAAAACTTATAGTCTGCTGAGGACGTATTATGTCCTAGAAATCCTAGTTACAATTCAAATGCTAAGATAATTTTGGCTTGAAAGAACATGAAGGATTGACCAGCATGAGACAGCATGGAAAGTGGAGATGCACTGAATATTTGGCCAAAATTTGACATCTTTAGGTCGAATAGTGCATTTTTTGTCAACACTATTTTAGATTTCAGAACAATAATTGTTTATTATTATTAGAGGAGAATTTGTTTGGCCATCATAGCTGTTGTAATTTGTTTGGCCATCATAGCTGTTGAAACATCAGAATTTGGACAAAGTATTGAATATTATCTTGATAAATTGTTGAATAAGTACAAATCGCCCACTATTTTTTCAATAACGTTCTTCATTCTAAAAAATAATTTTTTCCAAAATTACTGGTGTTTTGGTATTCGGCTTTGGCCCAATAGTGGATCAAAATTATTTAATTTCCTGATAGTTCATTGATAAATGTACTATAAACATATTTTTTTTTTTTAAATTTTTTTACTTGAAAATCACAAACTATTTTTAATTTGTAAAGTTAATTATACATAGGTTTTGTGTGTCAATGGCTGGTGTTAAATATTGAAATAAGATTTCAAGTTATAAGAAAATGTCCTTTTATTTCAATAAAACAGGTTTTTGGTTTTCCAAAAAAGTCTTATAATTAATATTTTGCCTGTAAATACTTAAATTTTTAGGTTAAGTTTAGTCGTGGGGTCAGGGCCCAGTGAATATTTAACTTAATAGTTGATTTAAAGAATCTTGAAATTTGTTTAAGTTCTAATCTGTTGCACATCATCAAATAAATACGTCTTGTTACATGTGTTCATCATATACATAATATTGAACAAAGAGAGGTCTTCCTCCTTTGTTCGAAATAAAATGATTTTTTACTTGCTAAATGGTCAACTTGAACAATTTTTTACACTTGCAAGGCGTTTAGCTCTTTATTTCCTTTTTTCACTATTTGTCTTTCTGTCACGTTCTATTTTACAATATCACTTCCAATGCACCAAGCCAGCCTTCTTGAATTTTCGGGGCCGGTGCATTTTGGGAATCCAAGAGGCGTATACAAGAAAATCAATAAACTAACCAATATTAATTCATATTTTTAACTTAAATACTTTTTTAAAGTATTAAGTATTTTGAAAATGACTATCGTTTATAAATTCAACCGCATACACTAACATATCCACACGGGCACAAGGTTTGGATTAGATATCAAATCAGAAGATATTAAATCCCTTTTTTTATGTCTCTCTATGCGCACCCAACGATGCTGTTATATATGCAATAGCCCATATATGATTCAACATTTATGTAATTATCCGTTATATGGTGTTTGATATATAGCAAAGGCCATATAACTAGAATAAATATATCGGCCTTCGCTCTCTTCAAAGGTGGAACAAGAAGCTTACTTCCGGAGGGGAGTTGGAGGATGATTTTTTATCGTTCGAGTCGAAAGTTACGATCGTATAGTATATTTACTGACTACAGAATATTGCTTTTATTTATAATGTTAAAATTTTAATTTTTTTTTCTATGGTTATTCAATGTTGTAATTAATTACTTTTATTTGGTATAAATTTAAAAAAATAAAATCGACATTACCGAAAATAACCAAAAGTTTAAAAAATTGAGATTCTTTGCATATCCCTGCTTCAGTCCATAAGAAAGTGTTGGTTATTGGTAAATAGGCCTCGCCTTGGCAAAGACATATATATTTTATTCTATATATATATTTGCAAATCTATAGAATACAATAATTGAAAAAAAAGTCAAAATTTTATGAAATCTTTATAAAAATTGTAAAATTTGATGGATAATTGGTCACGAAAACTAGGAGAGACACTGTACTCTAAAGCGCACCGAAAATGAGTGCAGGTGCGTTCGAGGGCCAGTATTATGAGTAGATTAAGACTAAAATTTAGTAAATTTATTTTCATGAATATGTACTCTTGAAAAGTTTTTATTATCGTATATGTCATAGCATTGATACCATGTCTTGTTGTTGATACCTGCATTTGTCAACGATGTCGTTAATTTTGGGTTCTAGCTATTTAATTCTCTGAAAGTGTATTTTGTCGTTTTCAAGAAATAATAAAAATTTTGTTGCTGACTTTCATGAGCATTTTTCGATCGAAAATAGTTTAAATAAAATGCCCCATGTTTTGTGTTTAAAACTGAAATCAATTTATGCACTTTTTCTATTGGTTCTCGGAGTTTGATATAATTTTGAAGTTATCACAAAACAATACTTCATTGACTAGAGGAGTTAGTTGTGAGTAATATTTGTATTAAAAGTCAGTAAAACTCAGTTTTGCACAGAAAAAGCACCATTTTATATCAATAAAAGGTTGCCAGTCTAGTTCTGGTCACACCACCACAAATCTTGGCCCCCCGTCAATATTTGAAAAAATTAAAAGTTTAAACATTTTTTAAATTTGGGCTCCTGTCAAATTGTCTATATCCGCCACTGTCATTAACTCATGCATCATGTCTAAATTATCATGTGTGTGATATGATATTTTGCATTTTAACGACAAATAATTTCCCCTTTATTGCTTAAATGTTATACCGAATCACATTATATTAATGCATTGATTAGACCAAATTTTTATTGGTTTAGGAGTATTTATAATCTAACGGCAAAGCATTGCTTGGACCCTATGCTGTAACGTTCCATTAATAAAATATATCTATTACTCCTACTATTAAGAATAAATTATTTTTTATTAGACCAAAACAAATGTTTAAACGTTTCAGTTTTTTTGAAGTTATAAATGGCTTCATTGTTATGTCAAAATATAACTATAAAAGGAATTATTAACGACTCTAATGGATGCAAAAAAAATTAATTTCAATAACGTTAACAATTTATTTTGCAAGAAATGCTTCTCGTGCCTGTGCCCCAATTCTTCCCTGGTTGGTTGACTGGATTGGGTAGAAAAATGTTTGAAAAAACTTACGTTTAACCGGATACATTTTAAAAATATTTAAATAAAATACAGAAAAATTTTTTTTTTGCATTATTAGTTGAAGAAAAATAAATTTCGATGAAAAAATTTAGCCTCAAAAAGTTATACCAAAAATTGCACCCACGTTTAGTTTGAACCAAATTTTCAATAACTGCATTACTATCGAACGATTAACAACATCTATGTGCATGTGCTGATTGCAGCATCAAATCTGACTGGACATGTTTCTATTGAACACGACCCTAATGCATTACATTGGACATATTTTGTAGGATCTATGTTTGGGTATGTATTGGGGCCAAGAATATTAAGTTGACCACATGGATTGTTACTGCTACAGTCATAGGTTCTGCCTGTTGTGGTTTGCTGCTGTGGTCCAGTTGTTGTTGTTGAAGATTTTATAGTTGTCGTCGATGCTGCTGTTGTTGCTGCTGCGGTCGTTGTCGTCGATGCTGTTGATGAGGCCGTTGCTGTGTTGTGGTAAAAATATCCTACAGAATTATAGCTGCTGTAAATGAAAACAACGTCCTCATCAGTCTTTTTACGTCATTTCATAAATTGCGTCGTTCGTCGAGACCGTCGACATCACAGTTGTCTACAAGATCGATCGTCTACGTCAATACACGTCTCCATCACAATTAGATGGCGTGATTTCTATAAATAATTTTCATACGGACAATAATTAAAGACATAACAACTACATTAACGGCGATGATATCTTTCTCTAACAAAAAGAATTTTTTCTACTAAAAAATATTAATTGAAAAATAAGAGCTGCTATATTGGTGGATTACATACGATTGCCCTTAAACAATTTTTACTGCTAAAATTAAAATGCCCAGTTCCGTGAATCGTTCAAAGTTTTAGTGGATCGATAGATTACATAAATAACTTTTTTTTAATATTTTAATCATGTATGTTTAATTCTCATGTGCCCCATCATTATAGTACTTGGTATAAGAAAATGACTAAAGTAATATTATGATCTCTCATTCTGTCTTTCCCACACTCTCTCTCTCTCTCTCTTTCTCACTATCTCGTTCTCTCTAAAAGCATTCTATATAACTGTTGTATGTCATATACTGATAAAAAATGATAAATAAATAAATTGTAATTTTACCTTGTGTCACGTCAACAACAATCCTCCATGTTTCTTTCGCCTGAAATGTTATCCATACATACATATATATATATAATATTATATATATAATATTATATATATATATATATATATTCTGCATATATATAATATATTTATATATACAATATATTTATATATAGTTTTAAGTTGGAACGGATATTGAAAAGCTGAAGCTAGTTAAAGTAGAGAATGCAGCAGTGATATTTTTTAATAATTGTATGTACGACAGTTTCAACCTTAATTATTGTTTTTATTAGTGAAATCATTTTGGTCGGGTGAGCAGAGGTGCCATGCCTTCAGCTGTTATTACGCGATGACCTGCTTCGAATACTGTCTGTACGATGCTGAAAGATTATCATACGCCATGCGCGTCCCTGCATACATAATGTGTATATGAGTCGTGTGGTGTGGGTCGTACAGCCTTTGTAGTACAAAAGTTCAGCTATAACTGTAAAATGATATGTAGGCGGTTCTGCGTTTGACAGAGCTGCATAATAAATGAGAAAATAAATTAGTTAGCAATAAGTTAAACAAATTATTACAGAATTAAAAATTTGTTGCTTAATTTAATTAAGAATCTTATTATTTGTTTCCTGATGTGGCAAAATTAAAGATGTTTAACGTGTTTTTAATTAATGAACTAAAATTATTGTCTTACGAAAAAATTTTGAAGAGTAATATTTTGAATTTATATTCCTTTTAAAAGAAAATTTCTAACATAAAAAACGTGACCAATAAAAATAAGGTGAATTTCCAAAAAAAGACAAACCGAATTAAACAAACCAACCGAATAAAACCGACAGCATCCGGCGACCGAAGAATCGCTATCGACGTACCGATCTTTCCAATCCCCACCTTCACCGTGAACCAACTCACAGCTCAACAGCGAGTCAACGTACCTACAATTAAATCCGATGCATGATGACGAATATGACCGACACCGATACGCACATTCGATTTCGCACATGCCTTTCAATGGGGCGATCCGAGACATGTTACCGGCAATAACGCATATGTTCTTGCCAGAATCGCTCTTTACTGGTTTGTAACATTGAGTGGAGGCGCTGTTTGCCTGGATGAACGTAAGACGTATTACGAGAATAAAATGTATGAAGAAGTTTTTGACTAATGTTGGTAGGTACGTTGGCATGCCTTGTAATTGAAACTTTTATTCTGTTATGCTGATCTTGATCCAGGTTTTGTTGGTGTGTATTTAAATTTTGTATTTCCAGTTGTTATTCAAATAAAAACAAATCATATTTAATGTTAACAATTTTGATTTATATCATTTTCAAATAGTAATATAAATATTTAAATAAAAATTTTAATAACTTTGAAATGGTTATTTTAAATTTACACACAATAATTTTTAGATTTACACAATTATTCATGTAAAATAAGCCTATTTCTATTTATTTGAAGACCAAATTCCTGAAACGTTTTCTACCTTTTTGACGTGCCGCAACCTAAACCTACGCTCAAATAACTCAACCAAAGACATGCCTTCATATCAATATCACGACAGTAATTAATTTCATTGCCATGTTACTGCTCTTCCATTGGTGTAATTATTTATTGGATCATACAGTAATGCGTGTACTGTGCAAATATATCCTGCAGTTTTGCATTCTTTATGATCCATATTGATTATGTGTATAATAATATATTTTCATTCAACGTGATTATACGAGTCGAGTTTTTTTTATTGTTCATATGTTATATATTACTTATTTATTCATATTTATTTATATTAATATGTTAAACATTACTTAATTATTTAAAGATATTTGCAGCCATATAAGTGCAAGATCCGGAGACAAAAGGGAATTTTTCTTCACGGTATATATATAAGTATGTTATGTATGTATGTATTATTATTATTCATTGCATTTATATAGGGGCCGCTTCAATATATTAAGGGCTGAACGGATAGGTTTTCAGCTGTTTCTTAAATTGACTTAGAGCAAAATCACCACTGCGCAAATTGTTTTTAAGGCTATTCCACAACCGTGGTCCGACCACAGCTTCCTATAAAATACAGAATAATTTTTAAAATTTGCACATTTATGTATATGTCTCAATCTAAATTATTTCCTAAGTACTTATCAGAGATATTAATTGAACCCAAAACGCCCCGGTTTACGATCGTCTTTTTGATCTCGCTTCTTCTTAAATCGTGTTAAACACTCCTTTGCAAAATCTGCTTTTGCTTTTTCTGGCCCTTTTCTTTGGAATTCTCTACCTACTTCTTTGACTATTTCTCCATCACTTGCGAAGTTCAGAACGGATCTCAAGACCCATCTGTTTGCATAATTCGTTGAAGAGCACTGTTGAACATCGCGGAAATAGCTCTTTACAAGCTAATTGATTGATTGATGTGTGTATGTTTACAATGTATACTATACATGCATGCATACATATACATACATGCATGGGTACGTGGATGATTGTGTACTTAGGTCGGTGTGGTAAAATAGTTTGAAGTTCGATTAGAGAAGTTAAAATTATTATTTAGTTCAGCACCATTATAAGTTAAATTGAAAAATCAGTTATAACTGGTTATTTATTTAACACCTCTTTCTGTTAAATTTACTGAATGACATAGTTGATTGTTTAGATCATTTAAGACCACGAATTCATTTAAAAAATTTTAGCTAATAAATAATTTTCATTAATAACGCATAATTTCAAATTAATAAGAAAAGTTTTCATGTTGAGTGTCATAAAAAATTAATTGGCCACCCTTGTGTGCATCTAAAAGCGAACATTTGTGTCTGCTCGGTATGTGTGATTGGTCTGCTTTGCTAATTATTAATATATATATATATATATATATATATATATATATATGTGTGTGTGTGTGTGTGTGTGTGTGTGTGTGTGTGTGTGTGTGTGTGTTTGTAATAGACCATAATTTTTACAATATTCTATAAATTCTACCGAATGTTTGGCGTTAATATGTTTGTAGTTCGTTTTTCACTAAAGTTTTTTGGTGAACGTTTAGTTTATTAAAATTCAAAATAAACTTATTTTTCGAATTCATGCTGCAAATAAGGCCATATTTCGATTCCGAATGAATCATCGTCAGTGCTCCTTGCTGTATATATAGGGAAATATTGACTTGTCAAGATT